TTCCCAAACTATTGTATAACGTAGCTAAACCAAGAACAACACTCTTTTTAAGCCCAGGACACACACAAGTTTTAAAAAAAAAAAATGTTGTGTGCTCCATAAAAAAACAAAAAAACAAAAAACTGGCTAATCACAAAAGGCAAATCATTTCCAGGCGATTCAGTAAAAGCAGGTAATGGATGCCAGTCCCCAAATGCTAGGCATTTATGAGTGCCTATAGCACAACACAAACCTGTTTCCTCCACCAAACCTTGTGATTTTCATTAAAAATTATACATACCAAAAGCATGTATCAGAACATCCTCAGAAACTTTAGACAACACTCTCCAAACCACAACCCCCTTACAACATCTCCCCAACACTCTGGGGCTCACCGAACCTACAAAGGCATTAAGAACTTGCCTACCAGCCAACACCCTTCTCAACATTATAACTTGCTGCACTAATGAATAAAAACCTAGGCTGAGATCAAAATAAAGATCAGCATGTAATTCCTAAGAAAATACTATGCTAAAGAGATGCAATAACTAAAACTAATATTTATAAGGATATGGCAGTAGTCTTTGCACAAAAGGTCTTTAACACGACCAAGAACAATATGGAACTTTAATTGAACTTGGCAACCCAGAAAGCTTAGCCTTACCAATAAGTTTCTTAATCATTCCAGCAGAAGCACTGCCCATGCTAAATCTTCCACTGTTTAGAATATTCATAGCAACCTGAAATAAAGATAAGCAAGGAAAGTATATTTATATGGCTTTTCTCTCACAGCTCCCTTTTATTCAAGACCCAAGTGCCAGTTTTATTCATTTAGCTGGAATTCTGCACAACTGATCATGCTATATTATGATGAAGGGCAATTTCATTAACTTCTCTAAAATGTTTCTAATGACCTATTGTGGAATCACCATGATTTAAATTTCTCTTGATGACGTGTCTCTTGATTGGGCCTTGATTTTTCAGCCCTCATTTAGTCCTTTACCATCTTCAACTACACAGCTTTACAACACACAAATATGCCACTTTCAGCTTTATTCAAGACCCAAGTGCCAGTTTTATTCATTTAGCTGGAATTCTGCACAACTGATCATGCTATATTATGATGAAGGGCAATTTCATTACTAATGACCTATTGTGGAATCACCATGATTTAAATTTCTCTTGATGACGTGTCTCTTGATTGGGCCTTGATTTTTCAGCCCTCATTTAGTCCTTTACCATCTTCAACTACACAGCTTTACAACACACAAATATGCCACTTTCAGCTTCCCATCCAAACCGTTTCCTCTTTTATGACTACCTATTAACATTTCACTTTCCAAATTAATTCTCCTTTCCCATGTGAAATTCATTCTCTAAATGTCACAGTGAAGTGTAAGGAGTTACTCACTACATCTTACCTTAAATCCTCCTCCAACTTCTCCAATAACATTCTCTACAGGAACTGCTGTATTTTCAAAGTGAACTTCACAAGCTGTAAGATAAAAAGTATTCAATTGATTTTGCAATATCCTTGGAAATATAAGCACTCATAAATTAAGTAAAGGGACTTGAAGATTTCAAGGCTGGGAGTGAGGCCCAAGACTAAATATGGAGCCCATCATTTTAATTTCCAACTCTCCCTGTTCCCCAATTTACACATAACCTGTGACTGTTGCTGACAGGACTGTGTGTTATATTTGAAAAATCCAATTAGATGCAGGTTCTCAATGAGGTGAATACCAGATATAAAAAGACTGAGATGGTGAGAAGAAAAGAGGTATGTACAATTCTATAACTCCTGACCCTGTGTCCTGTGTTTAGTACTAATTGATTTAATTTATCAAAATGTGTTATTTTGAGAACTAGAATATAATATTTTGGAGAATATTAATTAACATAGGATGCCATAAAAAAATAGATCCCTGCTTTAGACTCCCGTACAAGAATATATTAATATAAAGTGCGCTAAGAGCTGGTGTGAAATGTGTTGTTCTAAATGTTATTTGTGTGGCATGGTTGCTATGAAAATTCCCATTTCCCATTGTATACTTGCTTATTTTGAACAGTAAGTTTAATTGCATAAATCTTAGTTACACTGAATTTCTAGTACAATGTTACCTTCAGCAGGACAAAGATCACAAAAGGACATAAAAATAAATATGTCATATGAAGTCCCACCATCAACCACTAACTTCTATTAATGGAGGGTACAGCATACAGAAGAGCATAATGGCAGTGGGGTTTTACCTGGAAAATCTTAAGTTGTTATAAATAAATGCAGATATGAAGTAAAGATGGTGAGTGTGATCATGCAACTAAAAACATTCAGAAAACATGTGCATATTAATAACTTTTTTTCCCAATTAAAAAAAAAGTGTCTCAGACATTTTAGAAAAAGTAGTTGACAAAAACACTGGAATTGCTTTTGCAGTCCAGTAAACAATTTACCCTTGTATCTTCCAAAATAATGTTAATATAATTCTTACTATTAGATCCGCGTATACCCAGTTTATCCTCTGGTTTTCCATTAGTGATTCCACCAAAAGATCTTTCTACAATGAAAGCAGTAATTTTGTCTTTTACTGCACCATCTTTATCAACAATCTCAGTTTTTGCAAATACAGTAAAGATATCTGCAATACCACCATTTGATATCCATATCTGCAATTGAAAGAAAAGGATTATTTTATGTTCTACTTGGAAGAAAAATGAAAGTTATTTCACTAAATATATATGAACTGATAGGCAGATTTCTTTGTTTGTTGTATCTTTGGTATGTTCTCTTCAGAAATCATTAGCTAAGACTGAACACAGATCTGACAAACTAGATTCAATACTGGGAAACGAATCCTTTGGAAACCCTAAAGAGTTAGAAAGTTCACACACAGAAAAGCACCTTTAGATACATCTGCTTTCTTATTAGGTTACTTTAGTGTTTGTGCTATTCACTCTTTTCATAACGGGGCTGATCTTATCCAGCTAACTTTCCCTTTAGACATGTAGATGGCATTGGTTAAACTGACACACACAAAGTAGCCCGTTCCGTACCTTTGAACCATTTAATATGTAATGCTTTCCATCTTCACTCAAGGTGGCTCTGGTCTGGATGGATGCAGCATCACTTCCACTGAAATACAGGTAAATCAGGAAAATGGGATTTGGTAGCTGAATTGAGCCAGTGAATGCAATATCCTTTCTCCCTGAGGAATCTAAATCTGAAAAAGCTAGGCATTATTATCATTCCAAACATTTCAAAATAATTCCTTAAAAATGGTTCTTAAGTTGCTTCTGTGAGTAACAACAAATGGAAACCTAATCTGTGCTTAAAGACAGGCAGATAAAATTTGCACAGAATAAGGTGGTAACTGTCAGATACTCTAACCCAGCGTAAGTGGCAGCCGCCTCCCCATCTTGCCTGCTTTCCACCATTCTGAAGCTTCCACCCACTGAAGAAAACCAGCCAGCACTGGAATTTGTACCAGGCCTTCATGACTCACATGAGGGGGTCTCTCAGAATGGGACAGTGTGGATGAGGTGGCCTGTGTTCACTGCCACCTCATTATGCCTTGCTCCGAGTGAAGCTTTCGGGCTTGCCATATGCCTCTGTGACTGGGCTGGCCATTTGAAAAAAAGCAGCTTACGAACTCTCAGAATCATCTATCAGCTAGTTATGGAGGAAGTGACACAGGAAAGAGATCACCAGCTCCCTTTCAGTGGAGCAGAAGCAGGTCCGCATAATTTCTCCTGTCTCCCTTTCAGCCTCTTGCTTTTATCATTCAGCAACAGAGTGTTTCCATTTTGCCCCATCTCCTTGCTTTCAGCAGAGCTTGCCTTTCCTTACTTGTCTGTCCTTTTCCTTTATTCAAACTGAATATAAGATAACCTTCTCATTTTAAAGGCACAATATTTGTGTGCATGTCCTCCAGCTTCTCCCTCAAATGCTTTTTATGTTGGAGACAATTACAGCAAGAAAAATGTAATTACATATACAGATATGGTTCATTCAGATTCTATAAACAGATTAAAAACAAAGCAAGAACTACTTAGTAAAGGCTGGGATATACCATGGTCGATGTATTTACAAATAGCCGGTAGCATAAAATCAGATCTCAAGAAGGAAGGAGTGACATTAAGGAGGGGGGGCAGAATTTGAAACACTCATACAAAACCAACAGCACCTATTAGGGCACATATATAAACTTTTACTTAGATATGAGAGAGAGACAGAAAAAAAACCCCTGTATGATAAAATGGATCAAAACTTTAAAGAAACAGTCACAACACAACAATGAGGAAGAATTATGGACTAAAACTCTAACATTTACATCAAGCTATAACCTAAAGGAAAATTGATACAAACTGTTTTACAAATGGTATACAACTTCATCAATAATATCTAAGATAGACAAATCATCATACAGCAATAAATGTTGGAAATGTCAAGAAACAGAAAGAACATTTTAACCACGTGGTAGATATGTAAAAAACATCAAAAGTACTGGAAAGACATACATAGTACAATGTAGAAAAACTAAGAATTTAAATTTGAAATGGAACTACAACTCTTCTTCTTAGTACAAAAATCAACAAGAAACATAATTTAATGAGATATTGATATAATTTTGCTCAACACTGTGAAGGAAGACACAATTCCAACAATATCTGATTGGAAACTTAAACTTGGGGAATATGCAGCAATGGTAAAACTAACAGTATATTTGCACAATAGAAGTTTAACTGAATTTAAGCAAGAATGGTTCCCATGCATAAAACACATCATATAACATGGGAAATATAATCATTTACAGTCTGGCTTCTAAGGGGGCCTAAATTTCTACAAATATTGCAAATTAGCAGGTGTATAAAAAGGGGAAAGTCTGAAACCCAATAGTTCTTTTTTTAAATTTTCCTTTTTCTTTTTTTCTACTTTTTTGGTATTTTAATTCTTGTTAAATTTACTCCATTTATTTTTTCCTTTCATTAATATGTTACACACACACACACGCACTATGTAACAATACAATGGAGACATTAATATTAATCAGCTTAAGACAGAAACCTTTATGATAAACAAATACTTTGATGTTAGTTGTATCAGTTCCTTTTTCAGTTGAAAAAGCCAAATAATTTTATGCTTGTAATACTGACATCCTAAATTGTAATTAATATTGATATAATACTTTTTTCCTCTATTTTCAATACTGTAAGATATCTAAATAATATAATAATTTTAATCATATTATGTAAACATCACTGTACTGAAAAAATACAATGTATCAAGTTATTTATAATTAATAACTAATTGTGTGTATGTGTATTTGTGTGTGTGTGTGGCAAATTAAATATGGTATGTACTGATTTAGATCATTCAGAGTTTAGCAAGAATTTCTTGCTATTTCTTTGCATTTGTTTTGTAAGATAGGCAAATATCTACAACTCTGAGCTCCTGGCCAAATGAAACAAAATGCTTATCAGTCCCCTTGTCCGTAAACATATCTGTCTGTAGTGAGGGAAAAGTGGAAGCCTGCACTCTTGGATGACTTTTTTCAAGGAACCAGACTTTTCCCATTCTCACAAGGCTTGTCCCACTCACCACAGTGAGCAGGTTTGTGAAATCCCAGAGGTACGTGAGCATTATTCTGATAAGTGCAAATAGGAAGCAGGAAATGGCTTAGCTAAGGCCACAGGGCCAGTTCTTCACAGGAAATCATTCTCACCAGGGATCATTCTCACCAGGGATGTGTAAATAAATTTAGTATTTTAATGAATCCATTACAAAAATGCTACCTTCCTGGTTCTGTGAGACAAAATGCTGCAATGTGCTCCCCAGAAGCCAGCTTAGGTAGATACTTTTTCTTCTGTTCCTCAGTGCCTGCAATCAGGAGTCCCTGCCAACAGCAAACAAATAAACCAACCATTCACTAATATGCAGTCATGCAGGCAAGCATTTTAGAAGTACAGGTACTAAGATCATAGAAACTAACTACTCCCTAGGGCCCTGTCATTCCAGGAAGTGGTGTTCTGAGTGCCATGGTCTCACTGGTGCGTTGCAAGTCTTCCTAATCTAGCACAGCACCTCTTTCCAGAAAGTGTGACATGAAAGGGGCATTGATGTGATGACCATTCAGTCAGGTAACTGAAGGCAATCTCACAAACAGCTAACATAAATTCTTCTGAAATCTATAAAAATTAGTACATGCTAAATTTGAAAACTTCTCAGAAGTTAAATGTATTTATCTAAACTGAATTAAGTCCATGCTGCTTTTGTTTTGGCCTAGTATTTATTTGCACAGATTCTTCCCAATGTTTCTAAAAATGGAGTTGAGGATCTTGCTCTTTATTGCTCAAATCTAAAATTTCAATCTATTATCAACCTTCAATTTAATCACCTTATACATACAGCATATCCTATGATCTTCTCTGAAATGTATGACCAGCTTTGAAATGTTGATTCTTATGGCCTTACATAAACAGAAATTAATACTTTAATAAAGGAAAAATTACCTTTAGCCCTATAGCCTGATGAGCTGCCAAAGTTACTGTAATAGCTCCGTCTTGAGAAGTTATTTCTCCTAAACGTGCATACATTGTATTTGAAAGACCAAGGCCACCTGAAAAAGATGTAGTCTAACAAAACAAATTGTCTACAACACAAAAATTAAAACTGCTTTGTGATTTTTTTTTTAATCTTTAGAATCAATTGAGGCTTTTTTAAAGAAAACCACTATGTTTATAAAAACAGAGAAAAAAATTAAAGCATTGATCCTCCTTTAACCTAAACAGAGATATAGTCAACTTTCTGTCAAGACTTGTTTTCCATAAAATATTTTTTAAAACCTATTCTAATTTTGTCTCACCAATGTAGAACAACTGTACATAGGGTCTCATTTTTCACATATCTGTCATGAAGACTCCAGTGCTGTATTCTATAATCTTGCTTTCATTATCAGCTACAGGGTAGGACTACTGTATTCATCAATGCCTTTTAACTCTAGGTGACCAGGCCAGAGACAGAAGCATGTGGAACATCTTATGACTGTATATGCTAATTTATGTAAAAGTGTATTAAATGGCTTGCTCAAAGAATCCTGCAATTTTAAGCAATGCCAGTAGTAGTAGTAGTAGTAGTGATGATGATGATGATGTTTTGAGGCAATATTAATAATTGTAAGTGAAAACTGAAAATTTCAATTTTTCCCAGCCCCAAAATACTACAGAGAAACAGCATTACCACATCAACTCAACGTTCAGACCCAGATAGAAATTTTAAATCTATAATGAAACAAAGGATTTTCAATTCCCAATAAAAATGCGTCTATGAAATAAATGATTAAAAATCTGTATAGGAGGAAACTAAAATTAAAAAAAATAAAATTAAAACAATTAAAATAAAATAATGTTTAAATAAATGTGTGTCAAAAGGTCAAAGCATCTCTTGCTCCAAAAGAACAAAAACCAACATCCAATTTTCTACATACTTTCACTCACCATATTCCTGTGGTACTTGCATGCCAAAGAGCCCCAGATTCTTTAGCCCATCAAGAGTTTCTTGTGGAATTTTAGCATCTTGATCAATTTTCTTAGAATCCACTAACAAACATGTAGAAAACCATATATTATAACTGATCAATAATTACATGTCTTAACAGTAAGATTCAGACATTACTTTAGCAAACTAACACAACAGAACCAAGCTTGTTCAGTTTATTTTAGTGACTTATCTCATGTTTTTATACTTATTTAGTTATGAAATAAGCACAAGATTTGTGTGAATATCATTTCTTTTGCTTTACAGTTATCTCTCCAGCTGTTTACAGCCATCCTGGCTTCCATAGTTCAGTTAAATTTAGGAGATCATGAAGGAAATTTTCCCTTTGGGAGAAACATACGTCAAATATTTTAAAAAATGACTCAAAATGCCACTAGGAAACATTTGAAATAAATTCTCAAACACTCAGAGAATAAAGGAGAAAAAAAGGTAACCTTTTGAAAAACTGCAACATAAGTTTCAACACAGCATTAGTAAAACTCCTTAGTATGATTCATGCTATTTTTTACTTTTTGCTAAAATACACATGAAAAAAATGCAGATAAGCAACAAGCTACATTTGATCATTTTACTGTTAGTATTATATTTTAGTTTTACACTTGGCATGATAAAAAGCTTTTCATAAAAAAAAAAAGTTTTGAAGAGGGCAAAAGTGTACCTTCTTCAAGGAAGAATTTTTCCACTGGTGCTATAAAGTGATTGATTTCTTCCAATTCTTCATTGCTAATTTCAGGATAAGGCAAAACTTCCTTCTGAAATGACAGATTTTAACGATTTTTGTAAAAACAAATAAATAAAAAGATTGTTTATTGTGTTCAAAGAAATGGCCAGGGCCACTTAGCTGATTCCTGCAAGTCAGCTATCTAACCTCTGCTTGAACGCACTCCCGTGCTGGGAAGCCCACTTTTGCCTTAGGTATTTGGCCTTACTATTAAACTATTCTTAATGTTTTATCACAATTTCATAACTTGGCAGATATTCTTTACCCAGGCATGGACAACACTATTTAAGGAAAAGGAAAATGGTAACTTCTAATGAACTCTCTCTCTTTCAACACTTCAGAGGCTCGTTTGCATTTTCTACAGCTTCGTGTAATTTGAAGCTGAACTGACAGAAGTTCCTTTAACTCAAGTTGTGGTGATCCTTTCCACATAAGTCTCCCTTTAAAATGTTTTTTGTCTCTTTCAGATGTGGGATACTTAAAACAGTCTCAAAATCCTGCTTCCCCATATAGTGACTTTGGGTGGCTTATATATGGTTAAAAACAGAAAAACCAAGAACAAAGCACACAGAACAACTCAAGATAAGATAAAGGCCAAATCGCAGCATATTCCAATTCAAAGTCATTTCAGGACATGTTTATCCAATGCTCTGGCCCAATCAATACCAGGGGGAAAAACAGGTTTTCAGGGTCTTAAGGAAGGCCAACAGGGTTGGGACCATCCAATCTTGGGGAGAAGGCTGTTCCAAATGCAGGCGCCACAAGAGAGAATGTCATAGAGCTTTAGTTTACTGGGCCTTCCCTAATTCATTATTCCAGTCAGGAATTGATGAAGCACTTTCAATAGTTTCAGTTTCGTGTGATGAAAAACAGAGATAGCACTTTGTGTAATCAACATATTGATGGCACAGCACTCTATGGCATCTTCCACATGGCAGCCCTAAACTTCTTTTATCCAGTGTGGGAACTGATTTAAAGTATGGCAGCTTAAATGAATGTCGACTGTACTATGAACTATGTACTATGTACTATTCTGGCACGGCAATGAAGCAGAGGTCTGCCTACAAAGAGATGGCAGTTGGGTGTGGAATGCCTCCTTTGGTGCCAGCTTGCAGAATTTGTTGGGGTAGGCTTGGGCAAATGTGAATGGCCTGACTAGTGTGAGTGGGTGCCTGGGATGGAGGCTTCAGCCTGCTTTCAAACTGGTCAAGCGACAAGTTGTGGGTTCAGAGATGCTCCACAATGGTACCCCCTCACATGGTCCATTTCTGAACACAGCTCTCTTAGTGTCCTGAAAGTGTAACTGACAGGAACAACAGAAGACCTGTCTGCCAGTCCACCAGCCTTCTGTAAGACTGATAAACCTCTGTCCCCAAATAGCCCAGTTGACAGTTTGGTGGGACCGAGGAAAGATGTGGAGTGAAGCTCCTAGTAGTGCTGCAGCCAACCAACCTACAAGCTGGGTTATCTTTGGACAGAGGTATACCAATATTACAAAAGACTGGTACATAGTTTTACTATTCTTCCTGTTGCTTGGGCTAGAAGGGGAATAAGCAGAATTCCATAATATAAGTGCTATGGGGTTTAAATGCCTCCCCCCCACCAACCAGCACTAATTCCTGGTGATGTCCACACAAGGAGGGGTAAAATCACTGCAAATTGGTAGCACCCACACAGAACTCAATCCCCTGCACAATGGTACTACTGTTAGTACCAAAATCTGCTGGATGTTTCAAAAGAATCAACAGATATATACATTCAGTGTTCTCTTCCCAATGAAGGTCATCCAACAGAGTGACCAATATTATTTCAGTGCCAAATCTAGGCCAAAACCCTTACTGAAGCAGATCTTGAGAGTCAATTAAAGCAAGAATGAGCAGGCTTGATCTGTTCCTTCCTTCAGAACGTATATTAACCACTAGCCTATAACTGAGACCTGATATAGTGATGATTCTTTTTCAGGACTGGTTTCTCTACAGTCTCTTTGAAAGAATGTATAATTGCCTAGACCAGTGTTTCTCAACTTTGGCAACTCTAAGATGTATATATATCAACTCCCAGAATTCCAAAGCTGCCAAGGTTGAGAAACACTGGCCTAGACGAAGCTGGCCATCCCTTCCCTACTATATGTGATAAGCTATTTCAGAGAAGGACCAAGCAATCTCTTTGTAGACCCTTGCCTCAAGAGGTGACCTTGTCTGTGCCCAGAAATTAAGCAAAGTCAGCCTTGGTTAGTATTTGAATAGAAGACTACTGGGGAATACCAGGATTGTATACTAGATTGGGAAGGCAAAAAACTTGGTGAAGAAAACAATGGCAAACATTTTGTATTGTTACAAGAAAATTTTCTTAGAGTTTACAAATTTCACTAAGCCAATATTTAGATTTTGGCACAGAAATACCCTTCCAGGAATATATCATTGCCTTTTTCATAACAATCCAAACACCATATATCAAACGTTTTTCAAAAATTGAGAGTCCAGATTTTTGGAAAATAGTTTGATAACACATTAACATATTTGACTTTTAATTTCCTTCCAGGAACCCAGTTCACTATAGTAATAATATCTAGCCCATAAGAAAGTAAACCTGTGCACTAAAATTCCTCCAAATTTATTCATCTCATGCATAGCAAGGAGGACAACATTCCTTAAAACACGAAGCCACCGATTGGGCAATATGGGATACTCTATTTCTCTATTCCAAAGTTCTTATCTTTGAAATTTTTTTTAAACTGTGATACTGTATATATTCACAGATAAGCCCATCCACGGATAAGCCGATCCTCAAATTTTTAACCAAAATCCCATGAAAAATGGGCCACCCATGGATAAGCCGACCCTCAAAGTTTTTATTTTCACAAATGGCTTATCTGCAGGTAGTGGATTTTTCATAATATTTTGGTTAAAAATTCAAGGGTCAGCTTACCACAGATGGGCTTATCCCCAACTATATATAGGTACTGTAAAAAATGATTACCCTATATACTCACAGATAAGCCTAACTGTGGATATGCTGAACTTATTTTTTGGGATGTATTTTGGGACCTAAAATTCTCAGTTTATCCATGAGTATATACATAATAAGAAATTGTCAGTTTAGATTCAATGAAAACTTTCTCCAATATACTCAATGCCTCCAGGTTTTAGAGGCTACAAGGGGATTGGGCCAAAAAGTGAACATGGTAAATGTTTTATATTCTCATTCAGTTGTTTCAGTGCTTTGAAAGCATTTGTTAGTTTTGAAAGCATTGAAAGCACTTGAAAGTTTTGACAGCAGTGTTACTTATTAGCTCCTTAACAGTAATAATTTAATTTTCAATCCATTTTTTAAAAAAATTAAAATAGGAATTACAAAGTATTAATTTTTTATGAGAACTGAAATAAATTTTTAATTTTCTGCCCAGTAAAGTCCAAACATGCCTTCAACACTTGAAAATTAACAAATTCCTATTGTATGAGAATCAAGGGTTTGGCAGTTCACAGGTGCTAATAACTCTCAAGTTGAGCCCACAAAGGTGAATAATCAGCACAGTTAAAAAGTGTACTCCGTAATATTTTTTAAAATTTGTAAAATTAAAACCACCATTAGAGAGTCATAACTTTAACAACAACAACAACAATAAAACTCTGGGTATTTGTTCCTTCCAGGGAAGAGGAACCCACTATTAATTTACTAATCCATTTAAAATATTTAGGCAGAACCAGAAGTATCCACAGGACAGGTTAAATGTCAAAAACAGTGCCACACTGTAACACCACCCCTTTTATACATGTGACATGATGTTGCATGTATATGCAAAAGAGGGAGAGTTCATACTGTGATGGCATGATTCATTTTTACAAATGCATCACATCTCTGGCTGGAACCAACACAGGTATTGTTTTCAAAATGTATATCTCTCCTAACACAATATTAATTTTCACCCTACTGATTTTTCCCCACAAACATAGGCATAGTTTCATCTACTTCTTAATTTCCTTTTATCTGGGTAATACAACTTGAAATGTTCTTATCCATTAGATAGAATATATCCCTAGGGATAGGCTGCTGAATGTTAAAGGAACTTGGAGCAGCAGGTTTTTCAACTCTCTCCTGGCTCAGTTCACGCATACCATTGCTGGGAATGTTGTCTAAAGACTGGTAGTCCAAGTTTCACAATAAATGCTACTGCTCTGTGATAATAATTACACTTGCCCTATAATCTATAGCCAATGATTTTCCCCAGTTCTCTTCCATCTTCAAAACTTGGTTGATGTGGATAACTTCATACTTTATGTAGCAAATGAATGGCAAACCTGCACTGATGCTTTCAGCAATAAATATACAAACCATGAATGACACAAGTTCAGGTTCATAACAGGAACCCTAGACTGGCTATTGCCTCCTCATATAAGTGTTTAAAGATTAAAAATTACATTGAGATTTATAAATTTCTGCAGAAATGACTAGTATTAAACTTTATATCATCAGGATGCATATTTTTTTGCATAAAGTTGCCCTGAATCTCTGCATAAAATTTATTTACTCATTCATTTAAATATATTTACAGGTAGTCCTCAGTTAACAACCACTTGGTCAACAACTGTTCAAAGTTGCGATGGTGCTGAACGAGGCAGTTACGACTGGTCCTCAAACTTCTGGCCAACCCAGCACCCCTGCAGTCACGTGATTATGTTCTAGGTGCTTGGCAACCAGCTCATACTTACGATGGTTACAGCATCCCACAGTCACATAATCGCCACTTGCAACCTTCCCTGCTGGCTTTCCACAAGTAAAGTCAATGGAAAAATCAGCAGGGAAGGTCACAAGTTGCTCTGGTAAGTCAGTCCTGCTCGCACTGCTTTTTCTTCCAAGGAGACTGGATACAGAGTACGAGATCCCAGGGATTTCGTACTCTGTAGCATGCACACACCTGCAGCCCCCCCCTGCCTGCACTCCGTAGCACACGCCCATTTGTGCGGTGCCATGGCAGCCACCTATGCACCCTCTGTCATCCTGCAGGAGCCATCCACAGCCTGGCTGTGTTCACAGAGTGCCACAGCATGCCCTCCCACACTCTGCAGTAGCCACCCCTGCCCTGGCCCCAGCACACCTTCCCTCATCCAGCAGCAGCTACCCCCAGCCCAGCCACACACATGGCACCGCAGTAGCCACTTACTTGCCCGCAGGCCTGCTTGTGAGCTGCCTGGGACTGGTGACTTTCTGTCAGCTTCCACATTGACCTTGCTTGTGGGAAGCCAGCAGGAAATCGTGAGGAGGTCCTCACTTAACAACTCACAATAAAATGGGCATTGCCGGGATTGCTGTTGCTAAGCGATGCAATCACATGATGTCGCGCTTTATGACTGTATTGCTTAACGATGGAAATTCTGGTCCCAATTACTGTTGTTAAGCAAAGACTACCTGTATTTCTTCAATTTATATGGCTGTTAGCTTGGTACACATCTCAGGGCAGTGTATATCATCAGTAAATACCAATTAAATTAATATAAAAACAATACAGTAAACAAATAACAAAAATTTAAGGACATAAATTGCCACGAAAGATTCATCCAACAAGATCATACTACTCCCTGACCCAGGGCCTGGGGAAAGAGCCAGGTCTTTAATGCTTTTCAAAAGGGCAGGCAGGGTTGGGGCCAATTAAATCTCAGGGAAAACGCTGTTCCAAAGGGTGGGGTCAGCAATAGATATTGTCCAAGTGATAGGACCTGGAGTATCTTGGCTCTGTCAGATCTTGGAAGAAATAATTGGAGATGTGTAGTCCAGCAAGTAGCCCAGCCCTGTGCCATAGAGGACGTTTAGAGGTAACAACTAGCATCTTGAATTGCAGCTGGAAGCTAACTGGTAACACTACAGTTCACAAAATAGAGCTGCTACATGGCCATACTGAGGTATGCCCATAACTACCTGCGCCATTACTCTCAAGTGGTCATCAAAGGCAACCCCTTATAGAGTGCACTGCAGTCATCCAATTGCAAAATGACCAAGGCATGAGTGACCATGAGCAGGGCCTCCCAATCCAGAATTGGGTGCACAAGGTGGAGCTGTGCAGACCCTCTAAGTCATAAGTCTAGGAGGACCCCCAAATGGCATACCAGATCTGTTTGGGGCACTGACCTCACTGAGAAACAAAGATGGAAAGTATCTCAATCCAAAATCCACAACCATTTGTTTTTAAAAGGGTTGAGTCTGAAAGAACCTCAACAGCATCAGTTGGAGCCCAGGGTTGAGATGTACCACAGAATATCATCAGTATACTGATGATAACTAATCCCATGCTGACAGGTGACTTCACTCAGTGATCTCATGTAAACATGTAGGAGTAAGGAGAGAATTAAGTCTTTAGGCACCCTACAAAGAAAAGGCCTCTCTCCCCTTACAAACATTGACTGGTACCAGTCCTGGGAGAAGGAGGAGAACTACCACAACACTGTGCCTCTCACTCCCAATCCCTGAGCTAGTCCAGAAGGATACCATGATGAAAGTTATGGAAGTTCACTGAAAAATCAAGGAGGGCCAGGATGGATACACCAAAGCATTATTTCTTCTCCAAAAAAGGTAACATTTTCAATAGGATACTGCGATGCAACAAAAGAGAAAAAATGATTCCATAAACTCCATAAAATGGATGTTAAGTATGACTTCCTCAGATAACAGGCACATGTAACAGAGAGTCATACTGCCAACTTAGATCTTTCCATCATCTTGCAATAGCAAAATTCTGTTTCAAACACACAATCATTAGGGCCCACTTAATAGCCCTGCCAGGAAAAAAGAATCAAAGTGAATGTGCTTGCTGTTTCTGAAATTAAAACAACTAAATAAGCTTGATGCAGATTTCCTCAGGAAAAAAAATTCGTTAAAAGCTAAGATTTTCAGTTCAATGGTAAGTTTGCATTTAAGAAGCTACAACATCTAGTCTTTTAAAAACTAACCAACTCCTGTTCTTCCCTTGTTGTTTGTTGTAAATTGCCCTGGAAAAGTTGAACATTACCACGCTCTGATCTGGCGTCTGAGTGGATTCTAATAAAAACCATCACTAAGTTATAAGCTTGGATCCCTCCCTTCCCATACGGACACTTAGCTTCAGCTTATTCATTTCATGCTTCTAACACCTCCCTCAACTATAGATCTACAGCCTAAAACCGCAGACAAAATTAGTCTGACAAGTGAACTCGCGCTGAAACACAAGAAAGGAGTAAAGGTTTCTCTGAGAAAGGGCAACGGGGAGAAACGAGGCAAACACCACCTGCAGTTATAAAGCAAACCAAGATCATAAGGGGCATCGCCAGGGGCTCCTGAGATGCCGGAAAACTGGGGTCTTCCTCTCCATCCCTTAAGACCCAACGTCGCAGGCCCAGGGAAAGCACGAAGCTCCCGGCAGCCTCACCGTTTGGAAGTTCCCCAAGAAAAGCTCCTTAACAAACGCGGGCCGAGGGCAGCCGGTGCGAAACAGCCTGGCCCTGGGCGGGAGCGCAGTCCGCGCCACTCGCAGAAGCAGACCGAGCCCACTCATGTCTCCGAGCGCTGCTCTCCCGGCGACGGAATGGGCGGCGCGCGCTAGTGACGCAATGCCGAATCGCCTGCTCAAAGTCCGGCGACGCCACCCCGCCCGCAGCCTTGAGTTAGAGGCTGGGGTGGAGGCGCGAGGAAGTCGGGTGTTTGGCACCTGCGTGCAAAGCAATTGTTAAGCACGGAAACTGCTCGGATTGGAAGGCGAACCGAGGCAGATTCAGGCTTACGTGGAAATAAAACCTGGATTTGGACCTGCAGCGGATGATTTGGACTTTCGTTGCCAAACATTTTGGAGGGTTTTCAGCCCCATCTCTTTTTAGCTGTAAGAGTCGCACTCTCCGGGGCGCAATCATCTGTTCAGCCTTCCTTGAGGCATTCTGAGAGTTTGGGCGATCTTGAAGTGTTCTTTTTTTTTTTTTATCACATTTTCCAAACCCTCCAAGGCAACTGAATTGTGATGCTCAGTATTTACTCTCTATTGGCACTCACACGTGCGCTCTCTTCTTCGCGCTATTTGGTTATGCTTTTAGTGATTCGTTTTGTGCTTTTTCCATTTTGATTTATGTACTGTATTCCCTAATAGTAGATTTAAAAAAGAAAGGAGCATCCTGAGTGATTTTTTTTCTCAAAAGCAAGGCTTACGGTAAAATAGGTCTGCTTTGGGCTGAGGACTTGATCGTTTGTTGAACCTAAGTGTGAGTTTGTTAAGAATGCAAGATGACCTTCCGTCTGGGCTGCCTGACTCCACTACAACTCTGGGGAGCTTAGAGTTAAAAAATTAAAAAGAAAACAATATATATGAAAGAAAAAATAGTATAGCTGACCAGAAGACAGAATCAAAAACCAAAAGGGTTCAACCAAGTTCTGAGAGAACCACCAGGTCTTTGACAATTGTCTTTGACATGACATGACATGACAATACTGGATGCTCAACGTTCTTCTCATAGGAAGAATTAGGGGGAGTGACTTTTAGCAGAAAAAGTGCAGAAGGGGGGAGTTATCTTCTTCTACAGGTTTCAGTTAACAAGTTTAGAAGAGGACAATACTTTTCCCCCCTCGCTCCAGGTATTTGAATACTTTAAAACCAGTTAATTTCCTTGCTGATTTCCTCTATATGATTGATTTTAGGTTAGTTTCTTCAGATTGATACTTAAATTTATACTTATACTTA